GTTTAAGTGTGTCAAGAACTGCAAAGCTGCTGAGTTTTTCACGCTCAACTGTTTCCCATGTGTATCAAGAATGGTCCACCACCAAAAGGACATCCAACCAACTTGACACAACTGTGGGAAGCATTGGAGTCAACATAGCTTTTGACACCTTGTATTCCATGCCCCGACTAATTGAGGCTGTTCTGAGGGCAAAGGGGGTGCTACTCAATATTAGGAAGGTGTTCCTAATGTTTTGTACACTCAGTGTATAGGGAATAGGGTACCATTTGGGACGGACACTCTGTCTAGTTTCTGGCTGGTAGTGTAAACTGAACGTACATGGTGCCAGGTTAGATTCTAAACTGAGGCCAAATGCCCCCTGTGATTTTTAAACTGGTAAGAAATCGGACAATCACCCTGGATGAAGGGTGTTTAGCGTTCTGCTGACAGTTTTGTTTTCGCATTCGTGGGTGTTGATAAGGGTGAAGGGCCATAGACCCATGCACGGAGGCACACACACACTCACACACAGACACACTCACAAACACTGAGCTGTCTGGGGGTGACTAACACCAAGGCATTGCTCTCAGGCTGGACGACTGTGCATCTCAAGGCCCCAGGCCTCCAGGCAGACACACACACACTCTCTCTCTCACACACACACTCTCCGACCCAGGCGAGTGGAGTGGTTCTCCTCCTAACTGTGTAATTGTCTGTTTTTCACGGCCCGTATGACAAGGCCAGAGTGATGGAGGAAATGGTGCTTTATTTTCTACTTCCTGAAGAAATGCCATTCCACTGCCTCATGTTTTGGCACCACCACTGTGCTCCCTTCCTCTCTCTCTCTCCTCTCCCTCCTCACTCTCCCCCTCCAACTCTCTCTCCCCGACCATGTTCCCTTACCCTCTATCCCCCTCTCTCGCTCCCTCTCTCTCTCCCCCTTTCCCTCCGTCTATAAGAACTAAATGACAGCTTGCCATAATTCTGGACACCATCCAGCACCATGATGCTTGTGACTTTGACTCACACCGCTGCTAGAGTTTTTTGAGTTTGTAACTTTTTCTAGGGGTTTTTTCAGCGTGGAGGAGCAAAAAACTATTTCTGAGCCCACAAGCCCTAACCAAGGAACACATTAAATGGTTTGATTTATGTATTTAAGGAGAGGAATTGCGTATTTACTGCAGACTAGCTGGCAAATGTGCGAGGAGGAGAGGAAAAAGGGAAACTGTTGATATTAATTGCCATGATTGTAACATGCAGCGTGGCATAATGGATGTGTCCCATTCTACGTCTGACACTTGAAATGTCACTGGTATTAAAATCCCATCGCAGTCACTCTTTTCCCCATAATTCCTGCTGTTAATTGTTCACAAATATGTCTAATAGGCCCCAGACATAGTCTAACCCCTTATAGATGATGACATACAGTATACTGTGCTAGACCTCTGTGTTTCATTGAGAGGGAAAAGGGTATTGGAAAGTATCTCTTTTCCCCATTTTTATTTGATCACTGCCAACGTATGGACTACAGATGGATATATTTAACACTTGCTGTTGTTTTAGATTAAAAGCCAAAAAAGCATTACCCCCTTTTGTTAATAAAATAATATACAGTGGGGAAAAAAAGTATTTAGTCAGCCACCAATTGTGCAAGTTCTCCCACTTAAAAAGATGAGAGAGGCCTGTAATTTTCATCATAGGTACACATCAACTATGACAGACAAAATGAGAAAAAAAATCCAGAAAATCACATTGTAGGATTTTTTATGAATTTATTTGCAAATTATGGTGGAAAATAAGTATTTGGTCAATAACAAAAGTTTCTCAATACTTTGTTATATACCCTTTGTTGGCAATGTCACAGGTCAAACGTTTTCTGTAAGTCTTCACAAGGTTTTCACACACTGTTGCTGGTATTTTGGCCCATTCCTCCATGCAGATCTCCTCTAGAGCAGTGATGTTTTGGGGCTGTCGCTGGGCAACACGGACTTTCAACTCCCTCCAAAGATTTTCTATGGGGTTGAGATCTGGAGACTGGCTAGGCCACTCCAGGACCTTGAAATGCTTCTTACAAAGCCACTCCTTCGTTGCCCGGGCGGTGTGTTTGGGATCATTGTCATGCTGAAAGACCCAGCCACGTTTCATCTTCAATGCCCTTGCTGATGGAAGGAGGTTTTCACTCAAAATCTCACGATACATGGCCCCATTCATTCTTTCCTTTACACGGATCAGTCGTCCTGGTCCCTTTGCAGAAAAGCAGCCCCAAAGCATGATGTTTCCACCCCCATACTTCATAGTAGGTATGGTGTTCTTTGGATGCAACTCAGCATTCTTTGTCCTCCAAACACGACGAGTTGAGTTTTGACCAAAAAGTTATATTTTGGTTTCATCTGACCATATGACATTCTCCCAATCCTCTTCTGGATCATCCAAATGCACTCTAGCAAACTTCAGACGGGCCTGGACATGTTCTTGCTTAAGCAGGGGGACACGTCTGCACTGCAGGATTTGAGTCTCTGGCGACGTAGTGTGTTACTGATGTTAGGCTTTGTTACTTTGGTCCCAGCTCTCTGCAGGTCATTCACTAGGTCCCCCTGTGTGGTTCTGGGATTTTTGCTCACCGTTCTTGTGATCATTTTGACCCCACGGGGTGAGATCTTGCGTGGAGCCCCAGATTGAGGGAGATTATCAGTGGTCTTGTATGTCTTCCATTTCCTAATAATTGCTCCCACAGTTGATTTCTTCAAACCAAGCTGCTTACTTATTGCAGATTCAGTCTTCCCAGCCTGGTGCAGGTCTACAATTTTGTTTCTGGTGTCCTTTGACAGCTCTTTGGTCTTGGCCATAGTGGAGTTTGGAGTGTGACTGTTTGAGGTTGTGGACAGGAGTCTTTTATACTAATAACAAGTTCAAACAGGTGCCATTAATACAGGTAACGAGTGGAGGACAGAGGAGCCTCTTAAAGAAGAAGTTACAGGTCTGTGAGAGCCAGAAATCTTGCTTGTTTGTAGGTGACCAAATACTTATTTTCCACCATAATTTGCAAATAAATTCATTAAAAATCCTACAATGTGATTTTCTGGATTTTTTTCCCTCAATTTGTCTGTCATAGTTGACGTGTACCTATGATGAAAATTACAGGCCTCTCTCATCTTTTTAAGTGGGAGAACTTGCATAATTGGTGGCTGACTAAATACTTTTTTACCCCACTGTATATATATATCTGAAGTTAAGGCTTTTTCTAACCTCCCTGTGTGTGTAAAATGTAAACCAGCCTTCAGCCAGCCATTCAGTAACACAAAAATTATTGCAATAAGCCATTAGGATAGGGGTTAAACATTTTGATTTGAGGCCAGTACCACTGACAAATATTTTCCATGATTGGGGAATGAAATTCATTTCAGATTCCTTTGTTGCACTGTAAATATGTCCTATGCCACTAAGCAGATGCTAAATAATATGGATTTAATTTGTCTATATGTACTGAAAGCACTGGCGTAGCGGAAGCCCCTGCAGCCCACGCAAGGCGGGGGGGCCCACGAGCTCTGGGGGCCCATGCGCCCGTCATCTCACACCAATGTCTACATTTTATGATGTATTTTAATAAATCATTTTGACAGTAACCCTCCTTTTTTATTTCCCCATGTAGCAAGTAAAGTGTTTGTGTTGTCCAATTTACACTGAACAAAAATATAAAAGCAACATGCAACAATTTCAAAGATTTTACTGAGTTACAGTTCATATAAGGAAATCAGTCAATTGAAATGAATTCATTAGGCCCTAATCTATGGATATCACATGACTGGAAATACAGATATGCATCAGTTGGTCACAAATACATTTAAAAAAAAAGTAAAGGCGTAGATCAGAAAACTAGTCAGTATCTGGTGTGATCACCATTTGCCTCATGCTGCGCGACACATCTCCTTCGCATAGAGTTGATCAGGCTGTTGATTTTGGCCTATGGAATGTTGTCCCACTCCTCTTCAATGGCTGTGCGAAGTGGCTGGATATTGGCGGGAACACGCTGTCGTGCACGTCGATCCAGAGCATCCCAAACATGCTCAATGGGTGACATGTCTAGTGAGTATGCAGGCCATGGAAGAACTGGGACATTTTCAGCTTCCAGGAATTGTGTACAGATCCTTGTCACATGGGGCCGTGCATTATCATGCTGAAACATGAGGTGATGGCGGCGGATGAATCGCATGACAATGGTCCTCAAGATCTCGTCACGGTATCTCTGTGCATTCAAATTGCCATTAATAAAATGCAATTGTGTTCGTTGTCTGTAGCTTGTGCAGAAATTCAATTATCTGGCAACAGCTCTGGTGGACATTTCTGCAGTCAGCATGCCAATTGCACGCTCCCTCAACTTGAGACATCTCTGGCATTGTGTTGTGTGACAAAACTGCACATTTTAGAGTGGCTTTTTATTGTATCCAGCACAAGGTGCACCTGTGTAATGATCGTGCTGTTTAATCAGCTTCTTGATATGCCACACCTGTCAGGTGGATGGATTATCTTGGCAAAGGAGAAATGCTCACTAACAGCTATGTAAACAAATTTGTGCACAACATTTGAGAGAAATACGCTTTTTGTGGTGTGTATGGAACATTTCTGGGATCTTTTATTTCAGCTCATGAAACATGGGACCAACACTTTACATATATTTTTGTTCAGTATACAGGGGTAGTAGGTTAGTCAGACAGACAATATCGTTTTCATGCATCTAATTAGCCTATTTCTCAGCGGCGCCGGTGGCAGCCCGCCTCAGCCTCCTCACCTAATTGGCTATCAAGTTTTTTTTAAAGTTACGTGAATGAGGTCGGACTCGAATGGAGAGTGAGTGCATTATTCAAGATGGATAAACAAAAGGCAAGACCAAGTGATGCACAAAAAATGCCGCAAATAAGCTTTATTTGATCAAGCTCGTGCCAAGCTACTGAAGATCAGCAAAGCTACCACCTCGTCCTCAACTCACGAATCACCATCACAGGTGGAAGCTAGTAGGCCTACTTATGCAGCAGCTAACACGAGCAGCCTCCGAGTCCCAACAGAGACCTCACCGCCCGGAACCGGCAATGACAGTGACCTTGCTCCTCCTCTTCTTCCTCCCCTTGAGAATAGTGACAGTTCCTCAAGTGAGAGTGCCGGCCCTCCTCCTCCCCTCTCCCAGAAAACCAAGCTGATGACTGCCAGACCCAGCGGCGCTCATAAGAGCGACCCCCTTTCTGTGAACACTGGTTAGCCTACGAGGTATGATACGGATATCCCTGACAGCGTGGAGTCCGAGTTCCAATGTGTAATAGAAATAGGCTACCAGCTAAATACTGTATATAGCTATAGATAGACTAGTAAGCTAGACTGCATTGTCTGCATAATGAAACAATCCCTAGTAAACTATTGTGTTGATGGTGGATTGATTGTATTATTTGGCATTCATTTACTGGTTTTACGCAGCACAAACTTTCTATTCAAGCTGTGAGAGAGCGCAAGGATGGCGAAGGTTGGCTATAGGCCTGCAGGACAGTTGTATATACAAAAATAAATAAATTGGTTAATGGTTACTGATTAGTATGCTGTTGCATCGACAATTCATTTTACAATCTGCAATGTAAAAATGTCCCACTTTAATTACTCAACAAGTAAATACATTAGTGTCGCCAGCCAGCATTCTAAATAGCAGCATTGCAACAGCGTAGGCCTATAGCTTTGTGAAACATAAACGTTAGGCTTAACATGAGAAAATGACTACCAAATAAAAATGAAATCCATTAAAGCAAAGCTATATGCTACTACAAGCACTAGCACCACATAATGTGATAGCCACGTAGACGTCGCAATTTCAAAACCATGGAAAGTGATCGGTAGTCTATACTTTATGAGTGGCTGACGCATTAGATGGGGGGGCAAACTCAGACTTTGCGGGGGTCCAGAGAAACTGCACTATGCCAGTGAGTGTGTACTCCTCATTCCGGTTTCGGAGGCATAAATATATGTTATCTTACAATAGTCTGGCCTCTTAGTTTTTTCCAACTGTTACTGAAGTTGAATGCCTAGTCTGTTGATGATTACTTGATTATTTGCAGAGTCCAGTTCTTCCTCTCCTCTCTTTCGGGAAGGATCGATTTACCGGTTTCAAACTGAGCAACAGACCCAGTAGGTGTTTGTCCATGAATTCCACTGGCCACTCATATACAGTGGGGAAAAAAAGTATTTAGTCAGCCACCAATTGTGCAAGTTCTCCCACTTAAAAAGATGAGAGAAAAAGATGAGAGAGGCCTGTAATTTTCATCATAGGTACACGTCAACTATGACAGACAAATGAGAAAAGAAATATCCAGAAAATCACATTGTAGGATTTTTTATGAATTTATTTGCAAATTATGGTGGAAAATAAGTATTTGGTCAATAACAAAAGTTTCTCAATACTTTGTTATATACCTTTTGTTGGCAATGACACAGGTCAAACGTTTTCTGTAAGTCTTCACAAGGTTTTCACACACTGTTGCTGGTATTTTGGCCCATTCCTCCATGCAGATCTCCTCTAGAGCAGTGATGTTTTGGGGCTGTCGCTGGGCAACACAGACTTTCAACTCCCTCCAAAGATTTTCTTTGGGGTTGAGATCTGGAGACTGGCTAGGCCACTCCAGGACCTTGAAATGCTTCTTACGAAGCCACTCCTTCGTTGCCCGGGCGGTGTGTTTGGGATCATTGTCATGCTGAAAGACCCAGCCACGTTTCATCTTCAATGCCCTTGCTGATGGAAGGAGGTTTTCACTCAAAATCTCACAATACATGGCCCCATTCATTCTTTCCTTTACACGGATCAGTCATCCTGGTCCCTTTGCAGAAAAACAGCCCCAAAGCATGATGTTTCCACCCCCATGCTTCACAGTAGGTATGGTGTTCTTTGGATGCAACTCAGCATTCTTTGTCCTCCAAACACGACGAGTTGAGTTTTTACCAAAAAGTTATATTTTGGTTTCATCTGACCATATGACATTCTCCCAATCCTCTTCTGGATCATCCAAATGCACTCTAGCAAACTTCAGACGGGCCTGGACATGTTCTGGCTTAAGCAGGGGGACACGTCTGGCACTGCAGGATTTGAGTCCCTGGCGACGTAGTGTGTTACTGATGTTAGGCTTTGTTACTTTGGTCCCAGCTCTCTGCAGGTCATTCACTAGGTCCCCCTGTGTGGTTCTGGGATTTTTGCTCACCGTTCTTGTGATCATTTTGACCCCACGGGGTGAGATCTTGCGTGGAGCCCCAGATTGAGGGAGATTATCAGTGGTCTTGTAGGTCTTCCATTTCCTAATAATTGCTCCCACAGTTGATTTCTTCAAACCAAGCTGCTTACCTATTGCAGATTCAGTCTTCCCAGCCTGGTGCAGGTCTACAATTTTGTTTCTGGTGTCCTTTGACAGCTCTTTGGTCTTGGCCATAGTGGAGTTTGGAGTGTGACTGTTTGAGGTTGTGGACAGGTGTCTTTTATACTGATAACAAGTTCAAACAGGTGCCATTAATACAGGTAACGAGTGGAGGACAGAGGAGCCTCTTAAAGAAGAAGTTACAGGTCTGTGAGAGCCAGAAATCTTGCTTTTTTGTAGGTGACCAAATACTTATTTTCCACCATAATTTGCAAATAAATTCATAAAAAATCCTACAATGTGATTTTCTGGATTTTTTTTCCTCAATTTGTCTGTCATAGTTGACGTGTACCTATGATGAAAATTACAGGCCTCTCTCATCTTTTTAAGTGGGAGAACTTGCACAATTGGTGGCTGACTAAATACTTTTTTCCCCCACTGTAACAACATACAGTATGGAAAAATAACAAGTTAGTCGCTGTCCCTCCACTCTGTTCCGACAACTTAGGCCACATCCCAGAAAGGGCCACATCTCAGGCACATGCCAAATTAGAAGAAAAAAAATGAGGAAAAAACTGTAAACCTGGCATGGCGGTTGCAGGAACGGTGATAAAAGTTTAATAGTTTATTTTGGAGCTGGTTGGAGCATGCAGACAATTTGTCTGAGGAGTGTAACGGAGTTGACCTCTGACCCCTGTAGCTCTCATTAAACAAGCAGCGTTTCAACGTCCACAGACGGCACAGAGGGACTTCTCGCCCCTCACAAATCCACTGGAGCCGGGCCAGTCCTCGCTGCTCTCACTCACACATACACAGTGTTTCCGCTCACGCTCCCTCCACGTGTCGCCCTTTTAATGGCAGAGGTTTATGGGGAAGTAAATGTAGGAACTGATCTTAATGAGAGTTACCCAACTCAATTATGTTACCCTCTCAGTCTCCATCTAATGGAACTGCTCCTGTGTGTGAATGCTTGTATGTGCTTGTCTGTGTGTGTGCAAGCAAATGTGTACACTACTGACTTATTACTGGGATGGTAATAAGGAAGGATTCATGTTAGAACTATGACTCAGAATGTCTGGATTAGTAGTGATGTCTCTCTCCATCCCTCTCTCCCCCCCCCCCCCCCCCCCCCTTTCTTTCTCCCCCCCCCCCCCCCCTTCTCCCCTCTCTCCCTGTACTACAGACACCAGCCGGCCGAAGAGGAACCAGGAGAGTGACGGTGTGGAGTATCACTTCATCTCCAAAAATATATTTGAGACGGACATCCAAAACAACAAGTAAGTAGCGACCTTAAACAGCAGACATCTATAACCAGCCCTAATCTCATCTCTAATACAAAACACACCACATCAAATACATACTATCTGCATCCGTCCATTCCCTCAGGCACAACAACTGTAATGTAACTATAACTATATATTTGAGATTCCCAGTATCTCTTTCTGGAATCAACCAAATTCTGCCATCTCCTACGCCGCCACTATGTGCAGTGTAACTGAGAGATCAGACTGGGGAAGGAGCTCAGCTGACGTGAACAGGGTTCTCTGTAAATAGACCAGGGCTCTCCCCTATGTCTCTCCCTCTCTGAGTGTGAGGTGGTGCTTTGTAACAAAGCCCCCCTTTACAAGGGCCCCAAGGTCAGAGGGCCCCTCTCTGCCCTGTGTGTGTGTGTTTCTTTGAGGTGGCCCTGCGCCCCGTTGCCTGACACTCACACCCGGGAGCCGCTCTAACATTATGCGGGCAGACAAATTGAAACCGAAGTCGACATCCTTAGTGATGGATGCCTTCCCGCCCTTAGTGATGGATGCCTTCCCGCCCTTAGTGATGGATGCCTTCCTGCCCTTCTCGCGCCCTAAAAAACACATGACATACACAGTAAGACACACGCACGCACACATACACACACAACACAACAAGATGGCTGGGGCGCTGAGTGTGCATAGAGTGTCAGTGCATGCCGAGGGAGTCTGGGACCAGGGTGGGGATGGCTGCCGTTTAATGGACTCTTAACCAACCGTGCTATTTTGTGTGTTTTTCGCATTGTTTGTAACTTATTTTGTACATAATGTTGCTGCTACCGTCTCTTATGACCGAAAAGAGCTTCTGGACATCAGAACAGCGATTACACATCTTGAACTGGACGAATATTTTTTTTTTGAGTCGGACGAGAGGGATTTGCTCCAGACACCCGACAGGGCCCTCATCCCTGTCATTCGCAGTACAAAGAAAAGGAGATATCGCGGAAGGAGATCAGGATGCCTGGTAAGGAGCCGGCGACCAGTGGCTAATCTTCCTTTGCCATCGATACTATTGGCCAACTTACAATCTCTTGATAATAAAGTAGACGAACTACAAGCACCTACAGTGGGGAAAAAAAGTATTTAGTCAGCCACCAATTGTGCAAGTTCTCCCACTTAAAAAGATGAGAGAGGCCTGTAATTTTCATCATAGGTACACGTCAACTATGACAGACAAATTGAGGAAAAAAAATCCAGAAAATCACATTGTAGGATTTTTTATGAATTTATTTGCAAATTATGGTGGAAAATAAGTATTTGGTCACCTACAAAAAAGCAAGATTTCTGGCTCTCACAGACCTGTAACTTCTTCTTTAAGAGGCTCCTCTGTCCTCCACTCGTTACCTGTATTAATGGCACCTGTTTGAACTTGTTATCAGTATAAAAGACACCTGTCCACAACCTCAAACAGTCACACTCCAAACTCCACTATGGCCAAGACCAAAGAGCTGTCAATGGACACCAGAAACAAAATTGTAGACCTGCACCAGGCTGGGAAGATTGAATCTGCAATAGGTAAGCAGCTTGGTTTGAAGAAATCAACTGTGGGAGCAATTATTAGGAAATGGAAGACATACAAGACCACTGATAATCTCCCTCGATCTGGGGCTCCACGCAAGATCTCATGGTGTCAAAATGATCACAAGAACGGTGAGCAAAAATCCCAGAACCCCACGGGGGGACCTAGTGAATGACCTGCAGAGAGCTGGGACCAAAGTAACAAAGCCTACCATCAGTAACACACTACGCCGCCAGGGACTCAAATCCTGCAGTGCTAGACGTGTCCCCCTGCTTAAGCCAGTACATGTCCAGGCCCGTCTGAAGTTTGCTAGAGTGCATCCAGAAGAGGATTGGGATAATGTCATATGGTCAGATGAAACCAAAATATAACTTTTTGGTAAAAACTCAACTTGTCGTGTTTGGAGGACAAAGAATGCTGAGTTGCATCCAAAGAACACCATACCTACTGTGAAGCATGGGAGTGAAAACATCATACTTTGGGGCTGTTTTTCTGCAAAAGGACCAGGACGACTGATCCGTGTAAAGGAAAGAATGAATGGGGCCATGTATCGTGAGATTTTGAGTGAAAACCTTCTTCCATCAGCAAGGGCATTGAAGATGAAACGTGGCTGGGTCTTTCAGCATGACAATGATCCCAAACACACCGCCCGGGCAACGAAGGAGTGGCTTCGTAAGAAGCATTTCAAGGTCCTGGAGTCTCCAGATCTCAACCCCATAGAAAATCTTTGGAGGGAGTTGAAAGTCTGTGTTGCCCAGCGACAGCCCCAAAACATCACTGCTCTAGAGGAGATCTGCATGGAGGAATGGGCCAAAATACCAGCAACAGTGTGTGAAAACCTTGTGAAGACTTACAGAAAACGTTTGACCTGTGTCATTACCAACAAAGGGTATATAGCAAAGTATTGAGAAACTTTTGTTATTGACCAAATACTTATTTTCCACCATAATTTGCAAAAAATTTTATAAAAAAAACCAAAAATGGGGGATTTTCTGGGTTTTTTTTTTCCCCATTTTTTTCTGCATAGGTTTACGTGTACCTAAAGATTTTTAAAATTACAGGCCTCTCTCATCTTTTTAAGTGGGAGAAATTGCCAAATTGGGGGCTGACTAAATTTTCTTTTTTCCCCACCCCGTATACCAACCCCAAAGGGACATTTAAAAAAGGTAATTTTCTTATGTTTCCAGATCGGGTGAACGAAGACGGGGAAAAAACATACAGCTTTGGGAGGTTTTTTAAACCCTGGATTGGGGAGGATTTGAACGCAGCCTTGGAAAGGGAAGGGTGGCGGTCTTTTATATTTTAAAAAAACAGTTGGGGGCACGTATCTATTGGGAAATCTCCAAAGTTTTTGCCGCCTGAGGTAGAGTAAACACATGATAAGCGTAGCCAGGGGGTGTCAAACGTCCCCGGCCCCGGGGGGCCATCAGGGCCCCCCAAACGGGTTTAATCCGGCCCGCGAGATGATTTTGTAAAGAATAAAAATGAGCTGCAATTTTTCAATAAAAGAAACTGCTGTTCCAATTGTGTCCACTGGATGGCACAATAGCAATTGTGTTAAGCAAGCAAACTGTTTATACCGGGGCAGAGCAAATAGGTCAAGCAAGTGCAGCCAGTCCGGATGAGCTACTTTGTTTTGCCCGCGATATTTATTACGGCTTCTACTTTTAACATTATGTGCTTTGGCACCCTCATTGCCCCAATATGTCTCTGTCAAAAAAGAGAAAAGTGGACGCAGAGTGTTCCAAGAAAAATTGTCATCCTTCTATTTATTCACGGAATTGAATGGGAAAGCTGTATGTTTGGTGTGTTCACAGCATGTTGCAGTGCTGAAAGAATATAACCTTCGTCGCCACTATGTGAGTCTTCATGCCGACAAATATGACAACTTTCAAGGACAGCGGAGAAGAGAGAAGGTGAATGAACTGTTGGTGGGTCTGAAGAAACAGCAGTCTGTGTTTACTCACAGCCGAGACATCAGTGACGCTGCAGTGAAAGCTAGCTACCTCATTGCTAATGAAATCGCAGTGGCTTCAAAACCATTTAGTGAGGGTGAATTTGTAAAAACATGCATGATGAAGGCAGCAGAGATTGTGTGCCCTGAAAAGCACCAGGCTTTTGCAAATATCAGCCTGACAAGAAACACAGTTGCAGACAGGATTTCTGATCTTTCAGTGGATTTGGACAGCCAGTTGAAGCAAAAAGTAAAGTCATTTATTGCGTTTTCGGTTGCAATTGATGAAAGCACGGACATTACAGATGTTGCACAACTGGCCATTTTCATCCGCGGAGTTGATGACACATTGACCGTCACCGAGGAGTTCGTGGAGTTGGTGCCGATGACAGATACAACGACAGCAGCTGATATTTTCACTGCACTCGTCGGCGTGCTGGACAGGGTCGGAGTGGACTGGTCCCGCGCTGTCAGCCTGGCTACAGATGGTGCGCCCTCAATGATCGGGAAAAAAGCAGGCGTTGTGACAAAGTTCAGAGAGAAAGTGCAATCTGCAAATGGAGGACGTGATTTTTGGACTTTTCACTGTATTTTGCACCAGGAGGCTTTGTGTTGCAAGTCATTAAAGATGGATAACGTCATGAAGGTGGTCATCCAAACTGTTAATTTCATCCGATCCAGAAGCCTGAATCACCGTCAGTTTGACAGCCTTCTCAGAGAGAAAGACCACATCTATGGCCTGCCATACCACACTGAGGTAAGATGGTTAAGCCGAGGTGCTGTGCTGAGGCGTTTCTTTGATTTACGAGAAGAAATTGAACAGTTCATGGAAGAAAAGGGCAAACCAGTGTTAGAATTTCATTCCGCAGAATGGATGCAGGACCTTGCATTTATGGTGGATGTTACAGAGCACCTGAATAACTTGAACAAACAGCTGCAAGGGTGCAACAAAGTTGCCACGCAGTATTATGACAGCATACGTTCTTTCAAGTTGAAGCTGTCATTGTGGGAGACGCAACTCGCCGGTGGTGATGCAGCTCACTTCCCCTGTCTGAAAAATGTGTGCGCGACCCAACATGTGGCAGACATGAAGCGGTTCAAATATAAAATAACGGGACTGTTAAGGGAGTTTGAGCAACGCTTTCAGATTTTTGGTGAACTGGAGAAAGACTTCAAAGTTTTTTGTTCGCCATTCACCGTGAATCCCTCTGATCTGCCCGTCAGCATCCAACTTGAAATAATATACTTGCAGTGTGACTCGGATTTGAAGGGCAAATTTGCCGCAGCTGGCTTGGACACATTTTATCAGAATCTCTTGCCAGGTTACCCCAACTTGACAGCCCTCGCTGCAAAACTGTTGTGCATGTTTGGAACCACATATCTTTGTGAGCAAGTTCTCTGTAATGAGCATAAATAAAACAAAGCTGCGCTCAAGGCTCACGCACAAGCACTTGAATCACATCCTGAAGTTGGCTGCCACTCAGGATGTGACGCCTGATATTGATGCGCTGGTGAAAGCTAAAAGATGCCAGGTATCAGGAGTCAAATAAACTATGCAACCCCACTTAAAGTGCTACGTGAGACACCCTGATATAGTTCTGTGATCTGTGATATACTTCTGTGAATCACTGAGGCATTGTGTGTTTGTGTGTTGTTTGTCCTCAGAATTTCAAATAACTTGAGGTGTTTTATGATTAATAGTGATGTTGTGCTTTTGGACACACTGTCCTCAGGCTCCAGCTTTATGTTTATATGTTTTTATGTTGATGTGCTATTGTTTTTAATTTATTTTATTTTATTTGTATATTTAACCTATTCTTGACTCTGTGGTTCTTGCACTTGTTTGGGGAACAGGATTTCATTATTTGTATCTACATTTCTGCCTGAGAAATGACACCCTGATATAGTTCTGTGATCTGTGAAACACTGAGGCATTGTGTGTTTGTGTGTTCTTTTTCTTTAGAATTTTCAAATAAACTTGATGTGTTTTATGATTAATAGTGATGTTGTGCTTGTACTATTTTGGACACACTGTCCTCAGGCTCCAGCTTTATGTTTTATGTTGATAGTATTAAAACAAAGAAAACAATCTGAGGTTGTTGTTTTTAAGTTATATATACCATGATTTTACCGGTCCGGCCCACTTGGGAATAGATTTTCCTCCATGTGGCCCCTGAGCTAAAATGAGTTTGACACCCCTGCTGTAGACCATACTATCTACCAAGAGAGTTTTCATCTATATTCTTCGTAGCTGTCTATTTACTACCACAAACCGATGCTGGCACTAAGACCACACTCAACGAGCTGTATAAGGCCATAAGCAAACCGGAAAACGCTCATCCAGAGGCGGCGCTCCTAGTAGCCGGGGACTTTAAAGAAGGGGAAACTTAAATCCGTTTTACCTCATTTCTACCAGCATGTTAAATGTGCAACCAGAGAGAAAAAAAACTCTAGACCACCTTTACTCCACACACACAGAGATGCGTACAAAACTCTCCCTCGCTCTCCATTTGGCAAATCTGGCCATAATTATATCCTCCTGATTCCTGCTTACAAGCAAAAACTAAAGCAGGAAGCACCAGTGACTCGGTCAATAAAGAAATGGTCAGATGAAGCAGATGCTAAGCTACAGGACTGTTTTGCTAGCACAAACTGGAATATGTTCCGGGATTCTTCCGATGGCATTGAGGAGTACACCATATCAGTCACTGGCTTCATCTATAAGTGCATCGATGACGTCGTCCCCACAGTGACTGTACGTACATACCCCAACCAGAAGCCATGGATTACAGGCAACATCCGCACTGAGCTAAAGGGTAGAGTGGCTGCTTTCAAGGAGCGGGACTCTAACCCGGAAGCTTATAAGAAATCCCGCTATGCCCTCAGACGAACCATCAAACAGGCAAAGCGTCAATACAGGACTAAGATTGAATCATACTACACCGGCTCCGATGCTCATCGGATGTGGCAGGGCTTGCAAACTATTACAGACTACAAAGGGAAGCACAGCCGCGAGCTGCCCAGTCACACGAGCCTACCAGACGAGCTAAATTACTTCTATGCTCGCTTCGAGGCAAGTAACACTGAAACATGCATGAGAGCATCAGCTGTTCCGGATGACTGTGTGATCACGCTCTCCATAGCCAATGTGAGTAAGACCTTTAAACAGGTCAACATTCAGACCGATTACCAGGACGTGTACTCCGAGCATGCGCTGACCAACTGTCAAGTGTCTTCACTGACATTTTCAACCTCTCCCTGTCTGAGTCTGTAATACCAACATGTTTCAAGCAGACCACCATAGTCCCTGTGCCCAGTAACCTGCCTAAATGACTACCGACCCATATCACTCACGTCTGTAGCCATGAAGTGCTTTGAAAGGCAGGTCATGGCTCACATCAACATCATTATCCCAGAAACCCTAGACCCACTCCAACTTGCATACCGCCCCAACAGATCCACAGATGATGCAATCTCTATTGCGCTCCACACTGCCCTTTCACACCTGGACAAAAGGAACACCTATGTGAGAATGCTATTCATTGACTACAGCTCAGCGTTCAACACCATAGTGCCCTCAAAGCTCATCACTAAGCTAAGGACCCTGGGACTAAACACCTCCCTCTGCAACTGGATCCTGGACTTCCTGACGGGCCGCCCCCAGGTGGTAAGGGTAGGTAACAACACATTAGCCACGCTGATCCTCAACACGGGGGCCCCTCAGGGGTGCATGCTCAGTCCTCTCCTGTACTCCCTGTTCACTCATGACTGCATGGCCAGGCACGACTCCAACACCATCATTAAGTTTGCCGATGACACAACAGTGGTAGGCCTGATTTACCGACAACGACGAGACAGCCTATAGGGAGTAGGTCAGAGTCCTGGCCATGTGGTGCCAGGAAAACAACCTCTCCCTCAACGTGATCAAGACAAATGAGATGATTGTGGACTACAGGAAAAAGAAGAGGACCGAGCACGCCCCCATTCTCATTGACGGGGCTGTAGTGGAGCAGGTTGAGAGCTTCAAGTTCCTTGGTGTCCACATCACCAACAAACTAACATGGTCCAAGCACACCAAGACAGTCGTGAAGAGGGCCTGACAAAACCTATTCCCCCTAAGGAGACTGAAAAGATTAGTCATGGGTCCTCAGATCCTCAAAGGGTTCTACAGCTGCACCATCGAGAGCATCCTGACTGGTTGCATCACTGCCTGGTATGGCAATTGCTCGGCCTCCGGCCGCAAGGCACTACAGAGGGTAGTGCGTACGGCCCAGTACATCACTGGGGCCAAGCTTCCGTCCATCCAGGATCTCTATACCAGGCGGTGTCAGAGGAAGGCCCTAAGAATTGTCAAAGACTCCAGCCACCCTAGTCATAGACTGTTCTCTCTGTTACCGCACTGCAAACGGTACCGGAGTGCCAAGTCTAGGTCCAAGAGGCTTCTAAACAGCTTCTACCCCCAAGCCATAAGACTCCTGAACATCTAATCAAATGGCTACCCAGACTGTTTGCATTGCCCCCTCTTTTACGCTGCTGCTACTCTCTGTTTATTATCTATGCATAGTCACTTTAATAATTCTACCTACATGTACATATTACCTCAATTACCTCGACTAACCATTACAGCGCCGGAAGAAGATGGCTGCCGTTTTACAGCCCTCTAACCAATTGTACTATTATGTGTGTTTTTCCGCGTTATTTGTAATTTATTTTGTACATAATGTTTCTGCCATCGTCTCTTATAACCAAAGAGAGCTTCTGGATATCAGGACAGCGATTACTCACCTCGTATTGGACGAAGACTTTTTCTTCAACGAGGCGTTCGCGAAGGATATTCTACAGACACCCAACAAGGCCCAGATCCCCGTCATTCGCGTGAGGAAGAGACGGAGATATCGTGGACGCAGATCCGGGTGCCTTGTAAGGATCCGACGGCGAACGAGTAAACTGCCTCTCCCATCAATCCTATTAGCCAACGTTCAAGCTTTTGAGAATAAAATGGACGATTTAAGATTACGGTTATCCTACCAACGGGACATTAAAAACTGTAATATCTTATGTTTCACGGAGTCGTGGCTGAACGACAACAATGACAACATTCAGCTAGCAGGCTATACGCTACATCGGCAGGACAGAACGGCAGACTCTGGTAAGACAAGGGGCGGCGGTCTGTGTATATTTGTAAACAACAGCTGGTGCACAAAATCAAATACTAAGGAAGTCTCAAGGTTTTGCTCGCCTGAGGTAGAGTATCTTATGATAAGCTGTAGACCACACTATTTACCAAGAGAGTTTTCATCTATATTTTTCATAGCTGTCTATTTACCACCACAAACCAATGCTGGCATTAAGATTGCACTGAATGAGTTGTACAAGGCCATTAATCAACAGGAAAACGCTCATCCAGATGCAGCGCTCCTAGTAGCCGGGGACTTTAATGCAGGGAAACTTAAATCCGTTCTACCTCATTTCTACCAGCATGTTAAATGTGCAACCAGAGGGGAAAAAACTCTAGACCACCTTTACTCCACACACAGAGACGCATACAAAGCTCTCCCTCGCCCTCCATTTGGCAAATCTGACCATAACTCTATCCTCCTGATTCCTGCTTATAAGCAAAAACTGAAGCAGGAAGCACCAGTGATTCGGCTAATAAAAAAGTGGTCAGATGACGCAGATGCTAAGCTACAGGACTGTTTTGCTAGCACAGACTGGAACATGTTCCGGGATTCTTCAGACAGCATTGAGGAGTACACCACATCAGTCACTGGCTTCATCAATAAGTGCATCGATGATGTCGTCCCCACAGTGACCGTACGTACATACCCCAACCAGAAGCCATGGATTACAGGAAACATCCGCACTGAGCTAAAGGGTAGAGCTGCCGCTTTCAAGGAACGGGACTCTAACCCGGACGCTTATAAGAAATCCCGCTATGACCTCCGACGAACCATCAAACAGGCAAAGAGTCAATACAGGTCTAAGATTGAATCATACTACACTGGCTCTGACGCTCGTCGGATGTGGCAGGGCTTGAAAACTATTACAGACTACAAAGGGAAGCACAGCCGCGAGCTGCCCAGTGACACAAGCCTACCAGACGAGCTAAACCACTTCTATGCTCGCTTCGAGGCAAGCAACACTGAAGCATGCATGAGAGCACCAGCTGTTCCGGACGACTATGTGATCACGCTCTCCGTAGCCGATGTGAGTAAGACTTTTAAGCAGGTCAACATTCACAAGGCCGCAGGGCCAGACGGATTACCAGGACGTGTACTCCGAGCATGTGCTGACCAACTGGCAAGTGTCTTCACTGACATTTTCAACATGTCCCTGACTGAGTCTGTAATACCAACATGTTTCAAGCAGACCACCATAGTCCCCGTGCCCAAGAACTCTAAGATAACCTGCCTAAATGACTACCGACCCGTAGCACTGACGTCTGTAGCCATGAAGTGCTTTGAAAGACTGGTCATGGCTCACATCAACAGCATAATCCCAGAAACCCTAGACCCACTCCAATTTGCATACCGCCCCAACAGATCCACAGATGATGCAATCTCTATCGCACTCCACACTGCCCTTTCCCACCTGGACAAGAGGAACACCTACGTGAGAATGCTATTCATTGACTACAGCTCAGCATTCAACACCATAGTGCCCTCTAAGCTCATCACTAAGCTAAGGATCCTGGGACTAAACACCTCCCTCTGCAACTGGATCCTGGACTTCCTGACGGGCCGCCCCCAGGTGGTAAGGGTAGGTAACAACACATCTGCCACACTGATCCTCAACACGGGGGCCCCTCAGGGGTGCGTGCTCAGTCCCCTCCTGTACTCTCTGTTCACCCATGACTGCATGGCCAGGCACGACTCCAACACCATCATTAAGTTTGCCGACGACACAACAGTGGTAGGCCTGATCACCGACAACGATGAGACAGCCTATAGGGGAGGAGGTCAGAGATCTGGCCGTGTGGTGCCAGGACAACAACCTCTCCCTCAACGTGACCAAGACAAAGGAGATGATTGTGGACTACAGGAAAAAAAAGAGGACTGAGCACGCCCCCATTCTCATCGACGGGGCTGTAGTGGAACAGGTTGAGAGCTTCAAGTTCCTTGGTGTCCACATCACCAACGAACTATCATGGTCCAAACACACCAAGACAGTCGTGAAGAGGGCACGACAAAGCCTATTCCCCCTCAGGAGACTAAAAAGATTTGGCATGGGTCCTCAGATCCTCAAAAAATTCTACAGCTGCACCATCGAGAGCATCCTGACTGGTTGCATCACCGCCTGGTATGGCAACTGCTTGGCCTCTGACCACAAGGCACTACAGAGGGTAGTGCGTACGGCCCAGTACATCACTGGGGCAAAGCTCCCTGCCATCCAGGACCTCTATACCAGGCGGTGTCAGAGGAAGGCCCTCAAAATTGTCAAAGACTCCAGCCACCCTAGTCATAGACTGTTCTCTCTGCTACCGCACGGCAAGCGGTACCGGAGTGCCAAGTCTAGGTCCAAAAGACTTCTCAACAGCTTCTACCCCCAAGCCATAAGACTCCTGAACAGCTAATCATGGCTACCCGGACTATTTGCACTGCCCCCCCACCCCATCCTTTTTACGCTGCTGCTACTCTGTTAAGTATTTATGCATAGTCACTTTAACTCTACCCACATGTACATATTACCTCAACTACCTCAACTAGCCGGTGCCCCCGCACATTGACTATGCAACGGTACCCCCCTGTATATATAGCCTCCCTACTGTCACTTTATTTTACTGTATATATAGCCTCCCTACTGTCACTTTATTTTACTTCTGCTCTTTTTTTCTCAACACTTTTTTGTTGTTGTTTTATTCTTACTTTTTTGTTTAAAATAAATGCACTGTTGGTTAAGGGCTGTAAGTAAGCATTTCACTGTAATGTCTGCACCTGTTGTATTCGGCGCATGTGACCAATAAAATTTGATTTGATTTAACCGGTGCCCCCGCACATTGACCCGTTACCGGTACCCCCTTTATATAGCCTCGCTATTGTTATTTTTACTGCTGCATCTAATTATTTGTTACCTTTATTTCTTATTATTTTATATTGTATTTTTTTGTGTGATTTTTTTCTTTTGGTATTCTTTCTTAAAACTGCATTGTTGGTTAAGGGCTTGTAAGTAAGCATTTCACTGTAAGGTCTACTACACCTGTTGTATTCGGCACATGTGACAAATACAATTTTATTTACTTGGTTGTTGTATTGGTTCAGCTGTGGTTGGTGATGGGGCACGGCATTGGATGTTTTTTTGCAGAGTTTAGAGTTAGGGGTGAATGGGGAGACTGCGATGTGGCTGCAACGCTAGGGACACTACACATACACACACATACACACACATATCAGCTGACAGGCACAAATTATAAGGCGCTGGACAGAGGAGAAGAGTGAGATGGACTTGTTTACGTTGCGCCTCGTCGCATGCCCTCAGAACAATGTGCACTCACAGACAGAAGCTCTCTCTCTCTCTCTCAGTACCAGTAGGGAAAACCTCCTTGAGAAATGGACCACGGTCGGTAGTGGTGCGTGAAAGTGGGGTGTAACGTTCCCAAGGAAAGCCCTGTTCCCTGCTAAAAATGGATAGCATCCATACAGTCCCAATTTAGCTGAACCTCTCCTGGCATGCTAGCTTGTCCACAGTAGCTTTCCCAATCTATGTAGCAGAACTTGTGACAACAAACAGTATAGCAAGTATAGTGTATGGCTATGGCATGCCTTTTTAAACATAGGTTACTGTATGCCTTTTAAATAATTTTTCCATAAACTAATATAAGAGCTTGTTAGACTACAGGCTCCTTTTCTGAAGCTGAATAAAATGTTCTTACAGAAGGGCAATTACTATAAATTGTGTTTTTTAAGTACAGTAGTACAGACATAAATAAATAAAAAATAAAAAAGAAGATAATCAGGACCAGTTTGAGGGTGGTCCCAAATGGTACCCTATTCACTAGATGGTGCACTACTTTTGACCAGAGCCATATGGGCCCTGGTCAAAAGTACTGCACTGTATAGGGACTAGGGTGCCATTTGGAACGCACGCAGAGTCGACCAACACACACAGAGTCGACCAACACACACAACACACAAACTGTCTTGTTTTTAGAAATGTAGACATTCTTTCCACTCTCTTACTTCTGTCTTTCTCTTTTTCATCAAAAAAATACACGGTGGGGCGGTGTATTATGACGGTGATCAATTTGAAGCAGAGAGATATTAGGCGGTGGAAAACTGTTTGTTTGCCTTCTTCCATTGCTTCTCTCTGGAAGCCTAGGCTTAGTGAGGCACACACATACACATACACACACACACCCTGCTGGCATTCACCTTCTGTACATTTTAAACAGACAGGTGTTACTGATTTAAAGTGTAACATAGAAGATTATACAGTATAAAGGATTATTGTGCCAAAATGTCTGGATTTGTGTTGTACTGAAAAAATGCTATCTGAGGATCTGTCAGTGGTTGAAAGAGTAATCCCTAGTCCCTGCGGTACTGTAGGCTTTTATAATATCCTTATTCTGAACGGAATCTCAGTCAGAATTGTGTGTGCGTTTGCTGCGCATGTGTGTTTGGATAGTACAGTCATGGTCAAAAGTTTTGAGAATGACACATCTTAATTTTCACAAAGTCAGCTGCCTCAGTTGTTATGATGGCAATTTGCATATACTCCAGAATGTTATGAAGAGTGATCAGATGAATTGCAATTAATTGCAAAGTCCCTCTTTGCCATGAAAATGAACTTAATCCTCCAAAAACATGTCCACTGCATTTCAGCCCTGCCACAAAAGGACCAGCTGACATCATGTCAGTGATTCTCTCGTTAACACAGGTGAGAGTGTTGACGAGAACAAGGCTGGAGATCACTCTGTCATGCTGATTGAGTTAGAATAACAGACTGGAAGCTTTAATAGGAGGGTGGTGCTTGAAATCATTGTTCTTCCTCTGTTAACCATGGTTACCTGCAAGGAAACATGTGCCATCATCATTGCTTTGCACAAAAAGGGCTTCACAGGCAAGGATATTGCTGCTAGTAAGATTGCACCTAAATCAACCATTTATCAGATCATCAAGAACTTCAAGGAGAGAGGTTCAATTATTGTGAAGAAGGCGTCAGGGTGCCCAAGAAAGTCCAGCAAGCGCCAGGACCGTCTCCTAAAGTTGATTAAGCTGCGGGATCGGGGCACCACCAGTGCAGAGCTTGCTCAGGAATGGCAGCAGGCAGGTGTGAGTGCATTTGCACGCACAGTGAGGCAAATACTTTTGTAGGATGGCCTGGTGTCAAGAAGGGCAGCGAGGAAGCCACTTCTCTCCAGGAAAAACATCAGGGACAGACTGATATTCTGCAAAAGGTACAGGGACTGGACTGCTGAGGACTGGGGTAAAGTCATTTTCTCTGATGAATCCCCTTTCCGATTGTTTGGGACATCCGGAAAAAAGCTTGTCTGGAGAAGACAAGGTGAGTGCAACCATCAGTCCTGTGTCATGCCAACAGTAAAGCATCCTGAGACCATTCATGTGTGGGGTTGCTTCTCAGCCAAGGGAGTGGGCTCACTCACAATTTTGCCTAAGAACACAGCCATGAATAAAAATGGTACCAACACATCCTCCAAGAGCAACTTCTCCCAACCATCCAAGAACCGTTTGGTGACGAACAATGCCTTTTCCAGCATGATGGAGCACCTTGCCATAAGGCAAAAGTGATAACTAAGTGGCTCGGGGAACAAAACATCAACATTTTGGGTCCATGGCCAGGAAACTCCCCAGACCTTAATCACATTGAGAACTTGTGGACGATCCTCAAGAGGCGGGTGGACAAACAAAAACCCACAAATTCTGACAAACTCCAAGCATTGATTATGCAAGAATGGGCTGCCATCAGTCAGCATGTGGCCCAGAAGTTAATTGACAGCATGCTAGGGCGGATTGCAGAGGTCTTGAAAAGGAAGGGTCAACACTGCAAATATTGACTCTTTGCATAAACTTAATGTAATTGTCAATAAAAGCCTTTGACACTTATGGAATGCTTGTAATTATACTTCAGTATACCATAGTAACATCTGACAAAAATATCTAAAAACACTGAAGCAGCAAATTTGTGAAGACCAATACTTGTGTCATTCTCAAAACTTTTGACGACGACTGTATATATAAATAAGAATGGAGTGAACTTAGAATGAGATTGTAATACAGTATGTTAGTCCTCAGGGTAGGTGAATGATAAATTGGTTTTATTTGACATGAATCTTAATGTTAATCCCAGCCTGTACTTCTAAACGATATTAGTGAAACCTTTACTAACTGACCCGCTATTCTGCTTTTTCACTCCCCTCATCCCTCTCTCTATATGACTTTCTCTCTCTGTCTCTATGTGGATTTGTGTGTTACAAAATGAATTGCCTCTTTGAAGACATTCAAGTTGTTCTAATCTAATCTCTCTCTCTCTCTCTCTCTCTCTCTCTCTCTCTCTCTCTCTCTCTCTCTCTCTCTCTCTCTCTCTGTCTCTCTCTCTCCCCCTCTATCTCCCCCCCTCTCTCTACCCCACCCTCCCTCTCTCTCTGTAGATTCGTAGAGCATGGTGAGTATAACGGGAACTACTATGGGACCAGTCTGGACTCTGTGCGTTCTGTCCTGTCCAAGAACAAGGTGTGCCTGCTGGACGTTCAGCCTCATGTGAGTCACACAAGTCCCCGACACACATACATCCTTCCCTTACTTTCCCTCTACCCTCCATCCCTTCATTCTTTGCCTGTACTCTACCCTTCACGTTCCCTCCCTCCATCCTCTGTGTCATGTCAGTGACACAAGTACTCTACCACTCTACCCTTCATTTTCACTCCCTATGTCTTTCCATCCCTCCCTTCATCCTTCTATCCTTCTCTCCTCTATATTTATATCCCTTCGGCACACTCACTGCCTATCTCCTAGAGGAATCTCATCCTTCAGAGGGCTTCAGAGCAGCGCCGGCTTTCTGGAGGCCTTGACTGCTTACTGGGTTGCCAACCAAACCCGGCTGAAATTGGCTTTTTTGCAGATTTTATCGCTAATTGTCCTTATTTGAAGATTTTCTCTTTGGCTTATGTGTCTGGGTGGTGGTGAACAGCCTCTCATAAGTGGCCTGTATGTCGCTGAGTCCCCACAAACCACCAGGGCTAGAATCCTATTATCCCAGGCCAGGCCTAGCACCCTGCCCCAACCCTAACTCACATACACACACCTACACTCACACTCAGACCTGCCTCTGCCTCATAGGTGTCCTCTGTTTGTTAAATCTGACTAGATAATGATAAGAAATACACTATTATATCGATTATATAGTTTGCTGGCATGTTTTCAAACCGTCTCTCCCTGACCAAGTAGAAAGCAGTTAACTGAGCCCCTTGGTAGCCCCTTTTGTGTGTGTGTGTGGATCTGTGTGCACTTGTGCCAGGGTGTTGAGTAGTACAGGTCTGTGTGTGTGTGCGTGCTCCATTCTGGCTCTTTACCCCGCTCAGTAGTCGATCACATGAGTTTCATATCAGAGCAGTGTTGTTGCAGAGCGAGTGATGTTGTCTGGTCCCCTGCTGACTGTCTGAGCTCCTGATGAAAGCTTTCCTTTGCTCCTCTCCTCTCCTCTGCTCTCCTCTCTCTCTGTGATGGAGATTAATGGTAGTATTTCGCTCATGTCTTCGGCTACGTCCCAAATGGCACCCTTTTCCCTATTTAGTGCACTACTTTTGACCATGGTCCTATGGTCAAAAGTAGTGCACTAGATAGGGTAAAGGGTGCCATTTGGGGCACCACCTTTGTATCTGCCTGGGGCTTTGGACCCGCTTCCCAGAACACAGCGAGAGACCCTGGTATCGGGTACAGAGGAAGCAGACCAGCGCTGGTTCACACGCCACTCTGCTGCGGTTCAGTACACACACACACTCGCTGCGTGCTACGTGTCAACGCGACCCAGCCTTGTAATGTGTCATTGCCTCAGTGCTGGGACAGACTAGCTAGACAGACTGAGATCTGTGACTAATTTCACAATGTGATATCTCCAGATAGATCAACAAGACCCAGTCGTATCCTCTACTCTCCTGACTAATGTGGGAGGACCGAGGCACTCTTTGTGATTCAAGGTCCTCGTTGTTTGAAGACTAATAACCCCTCACCCATAGAGCACCTTCCTTGGTCGAGGAATTGGACGATGTGTCATCCTCTGGGATTCTTTGTACTTTTTAATTGTTTAAAACTGTATGAATTGTTTTACCCCTAAATAAATCAATAGTTCCTTTTTCTAACTGTGTTTATTTCTCTCTCGTCTGTGTGTTGCAGACGATAAAGCACCTGAGGACGGCAGAGTTTAAACCCTACGTGGTGTTTGTGAAGCCGCCGCCCATCGAGCGCCTGCGGGAGACCAGAAGGAATGCTAAGGTCATCTCAGGCAAGGATGACAAGGGATCCGCCAAGCCATTCTCGGTAAGACACATCAACATAAACCTTTGCCAAGAGAAGAAACCTTTAAATGTTTCACCTTGTAAAAAATGTCACAGTGACAGAGAAGCCTTGAAACACACTTTAAGTTTAAAGTAAAATGCTCCGGTAAAACAGGCAGTGTTTTAGAATATCAACTTTTTTTCTAACTTTAAAAAAATGAAAAAAATCCACAGAATGGTTAATGGGTGGTTAATTGCATTGGAAGCTAACTTCCCACTCAGACGTCTTCTGTAAAAGTGACGTGGTGAGTGAGTGCGTACGTGTGTGTAATGTGACGTTATAAGGTGGGATCAAAGGTGATCCAGCAGTGTTAGAGTACCAAATGGCCTAGCTGCTGGTTAACAGGAGGGAGGTTATCAGAGACCCTAACAGTTTATTCCTCCCTGAAGCCCACCTAAAGGAATAACATAGACTATCTGGGGCTCTGGGGGAGCTAGCTGTGGTGGTGGTGGTGATGTCATCTTTACTACACACACCTTTCTGCTGCAGGCTAGTGTGTGTGTGTGTGTGTGTGTGTGTGTGTGTTTGTGTGTGTGTGTGTGTGCGTGTGCGTGCGTGTGTCTGCTTGTGGGTGCATGTCTGGATACGTGCGTGCTTGTGTGTGTTACACACCTTTACACACCAGCCAGTCACAGCTCACTGCCGGGCCCCACGTGAAACCAATTAGTCGAAGCGTGTTGCCGTAGTGGTGCCGGCGTGCGACGGCTGATGGCTTTCCCAGCCCCCGCCAGGTCGTCTCTCCCTCCGTGGGGCCACACTACGGGCCATAACCCGGGTCACAACCACAAGCTGGGCCGATGAGGAGAGAAGGGGAGGGGGGATAGAGAGACAGAGAAGAGGGAGAGAGAGGGGGGCGGAGAGAGTGAGAATGAGAGAGGAAAGAGAGGAGAGGGGGAAACAGAGAGAGAGGGGGGAGAAAGAAGGAGAGAGAGTCTGGCTGTGATGTTGGAGGTGTGGAGGCTTTCCACGCACCGGTGCTGAAGGTCGCCGTCAAACAGGGCTGTGAAAGGGGCGGGGAGAGGAGGAGGGTATGTGTGTGTAGGCCGGGCGGGCGCAGGTGCAGATCAGATCGGCGGGTGGCTCAGTGGGGCATCTGCCTCGGCCCCGCAGGGCTCCGGGCTGCTCTCTGCCTTTTGTCTGCTCTCTCTTTCTCCATCTCTCCCTCAGTGTGTCTGTTCCACTCAGCTCAGAATGTGTCCCAAATGGCACCCTATTCCCTATATAGTGCACAACTTTGGACCAGAGCCCTATGGGCCCTGGTTAAAAGTAGTGCACTATAAAGGGAATAGGGAGCCATCTGGGACACAGCCTCAGACCCACTCTGAGGTGTTACTCCACACACACCTCTGTGTTCACCATGACCTAACGCAACACACAGCGCAGCAAAGCACAGCAGGGCTCTGGAAAAGGACAGGGTTGCACACAGCAGGTCAGCTCTAACTCAAAACATCCTTCACTGAGCCATCACTGAGTTGTACCGTCACTATGTCAGAGGCTCAGCAGCTATTCTTAAAGTCATCCTTAAAGCATGAAATGATTACACACTTTCAATGACTCACCGCACTGATATACTGACATACTGTATTCAAGTCAGTCTGACCCCATCCCAGTCATTTACTGACAACATCACTGAGATCTCTGATATGGTTTTCTTTTCAACTCAATAAGAAAAATATGTTTTATTGTCAGGCTCTCAGTTATTAATGTGTAAAGGTTAGTGACGAAGCTGTAGGGAAGCAGTGCCATCATACATGATGATGACCATCCTGTGGGGTGAGAGGTCAGACAGAGAGCCTTCAGAAGTCAAAGCCCATGCTATCGACCGTTGTATGACTTTTGGGTGAAAGTCTCTCTCTGCTCTCAGTGAGACTCCTATGAACAGTAAGCGCTAGTTGTCACAAACACGGCAGACCTTCGACACTTGCTCTGGCCTATAATACCTCTATTAGACCTATAGTTCACTCAGGTAACACAAATACAACCTCAACGTTTCCCTTTGTTACCTGCTTGGAATATGTCCAGTTGCCAAAATCCTTTCTGTAAACCTTTATAGAGATTGACAGGCAGAGCTTTAAATCATCAGATCCCAGCTATTAAAAGAAAGAAAAACCTTGTTTGGTGAAAATGTCACAGCGGTATTTTATTCTCGTCCTGCTGTATTTCTTTCAGTGAGAATGCTAGAGGCAGCAGCTCTGGTCTGTTAGAATAATCCATTGTCCCATCTAGACTTCTGGAGAACAGACTTTTCATTGTTTTAACAGAGCCGTATACTTGTCTATTGTTTAACCTGTAATACATTCATGTATGTTTTAAAATGTGTCTGACACTTAATATGAGCCCCAAACATTCTGATATAATCAGAGATATACTGTAATATGGTAATGCAATGTCCATATTCCTATTCCTAGTAATAGCAGTATAATAAGTAAAAGGATCATGAGAAGGGTATCTTACCTTTCCCTCTAGCCAAAGCAATGACATTTTGTCTTCTTTCAGAGAGTAAATCGAGGACCTCTTTGCCGAACCAGATCGGTTCTGATATTTTATGTCATTTTAATACATAGGGCATGTGCATTTTATCTGTATGAATAAAAGCAGATTTTCCGTTGAGGGCCTGACTACAGACCAAGGGGATGGCCAAGGACTTCTGCTGATGGCCAGAACTGAGAGGAGACTGAAGAGAGGGATGAGACCTGATGCTGGCTCTGACTCTGAGATCTCTGTCTCTTTCTTGGTCTCTGTTTCTTTCTTGGTGTCTGTTTCTCTTTCTGTCTCTGATTTTCTCTCTATGTCTCTCTCTCTTTGTGTCTTTCTCTCTCTCTTTCCCTTTCTGTCTTTCTGTCCCTATCTCTCTCTTCCTCTCTCTTTCTGTCCATCTTGGTCTGTCTGTCTCTCTCTTGTTCTTGTTCTCTTTCTTTCTCTCCCTCTCTCCCCATAATGTAAACGGTCACCCTTACCTGGCCTGCTATGATCATAGAGAGGGAGACATGCCATGGCATGGACACTAACTGACTGGTTGACATGGAAACAGCATGCACAGCGTCTCTAGGGCTCGTTCTGTCCATGTCCACCCCACCGTCCTGCTGCCAACATAGAATTAAATAATTTAATGTATCTCTATGGCTGCCAGTTTCAGGTCCAAAGGGTTGGAGAGCTGCTGGCAGTAGTAGCTGGGTGTGTGTCCCAAATGGTACCCTATTCCATGCACTACTTTTGACCAGAGCTCTATTGGCTCTGGTCAAAATAAGTGCACTATATAGGGAATAGGGAGCTATTTGGGATGTAGCCTGGGTCACTGGGTCCACATCCAGCAGCTCTAGCCTTTCTGAGGGCTGACCACAGAGGAAGGCTACCAAGGGTCAGCAGCCTCAGATCACTGGAGGGAATATATGGTGGACGGACCGACAGACCGAGCCGCTTCAACTTCCTCTCAGCCCAGACCAACAAACCTCCTCAACCTCTTCCCTTCCTCCGAGACAGAGGATGATAAAACCATCATGTCTTCTCACAAAAGACAATAGACCGTGAGATAATGTGGGCAGATTTTTACTGCCTTGTACAGTAGGTACAGTAGATACACTAGACTGTGAACACAGGTCGGAGTCTGTCCAAGATGGACAGAAAGAGAAAGGAAGAGAGAGACAGAAAGACAGAGAGGGAAAGAGAGACAGAAAGACAGAGAGGGAAAGAGCGAGAGAAAGACAGAGAGAAAGAGAGATAGAGAGAGAACCAGAGACAGATACCAAGTAAAAGAGAGCGACAGAGAGAGAAACATAGACCAAGAAAGAGTTATGGTCAAAACATATTGATGCGTGCCTGCCGAGTGGCGCAGCGGTCTAAGGCACTGCATCGCAGTGCTAGAGGCGTCGCTACAGATCTGGGTTCGGTCCCGGGCAGTGTCACAGTCGGCCGCCACCGGGAGACCCATGAGGTGGCCCACAATTGGCCCAGTGTCGTCCGGGTTAGGGGAGGGTTTGTCCTGCTGGGATATCCTTGTCCCATCGCACTCTAGCGACTCCTTGTGGCAGCCGGGCACCTGCATGCTTACCTCAGTCGCCAGCTGTACGGTGTTTCCTTTGACACATTGGTGCGGCTGGCTTCCGGGTTAAGCAAGCAGTGTGTCAAGAAGCAGTGCGCCTTGGCAGGATTGTGTTTCGTAGGACGCATGGCTCTCAACCTTCCCCTCTCCCGAGTCTGTACGGGAGTTGCAGTGATGGGACAAAACTGTAACTACCAATTGGGGAGAAAAAGTGGTAAAATGTACCCCTTTTTATTGGTAAATATAATAATAATAAATAAATAAACATATTGATGCACCAATATCTAAGATGGGAAGAGGTCTGTCCATACTAAAGTGCTGCTCTGCCGCCTTAACAACGCTATAAACAAGGCAGGTCCTACAGGCCCTAGTTTTGTCACACCTGGACTATTGTCCAGTCGTGTGGTCAGGTGCCACAAAGAGGGACTTAGGAAAATTACAATTGGCCCAGAACAGGGCAGCACGGCCGGCCCTTAAATGTACACGGAGAGCTAACGTTAATAATATGCATGTCAATCTCTCCTGGCTCAAAGTAGAGGAGAGTGACTTCATCACTACTTGTAATTGTGAGAAGTATTGACATGTTGGATGCACCGAGCTGTCTGTTTAAACTATTAGCACATAGCTCAGACACCCATGCATAACCCACAAGACATGCCACCAGAGGTCTCTTCACAGTCCCCAAGTCCAGAACAGATTATGGGAGGCGCACAGTACGACATAGAGCCATGACCACATTGAACTCTATTCCACATCAAGTAACTCATACAAGCAGTAAAATCAGATTTAAAAAACAGTGTGGACTGTGAAGAGACACACACACACACACACACACACACACACACACACAGGCAAACACATACACACACATGATAACATACGCACTATACACACACGTACACATGGATTTTGTGTTGTAGATATGTGGTAGTAGAGTAGTGGCCTGTTGTGAAATCTTTCATGTAATGTTTTTAATTGTATATAAAAGCCTTAATTTTGCTGGACCCCAGGAAGAGTAGCTGCTGCCTTGGCAGCAGCTAATGGGGATCCATAATAAATACAAATACAATGGAGGGCTGTGTCGGACATTCAGAGGCAGGGTAGCCTAACGGTTAAGAGCGTTGAGCCAGTAACCGAAAGGTTGCTGGTTTGAATCCCCGAGCCGACTGGGTGAAAAGTCTGTCGTTGTGCCCTTGAGCAAGGCACTTAACCCTAATTGCTCCTGTAAATCGCTCTGGATTAGAGTGTCTGCTAAATGACTGTAAATGTTTCTGGACTGGCTCGAAAACGCAGTCGTGTCATGGTGACCATTTAATTTTAGTTGCTCGACAAATCAACTATGAGGTGTTATAACCGCTAGCAAGGGAGACCATTTTAGAAAGAGAGACGTTCTAAAATTGTATTTGTGTGTGTGTGTGTGTGTGTCTGTCTGTCTGTCTGTCTGTCTGTCTGTCTGTCTGTCTGTCTGTCTGTCTGTCTGTCTGTGTAAGTGTGTGTCTGTGTGTTGTCAGTGTGTGTTTGTGCGTCAGTGTGTTTGTTTCTGTTTGTGTTCCTGCCTATGAATGTGTCTGTATACGGTATATGTATTTATATTTGTGTGTTTGGCAGAGTCACTGAGTGTGACCGTATATCAGTGGAGATCTGAAGCCCAGTGCTCCTTTAGTTAAAGGAGCTAGCTAAATGGAGCTATAGCCGCTCTAACCCTGCCATGTTCCTGGGTCTGAGGCTGGAATGGATCAGCCCATATAAACATATCACCGGGCAGTCTAATACCAGCAGGGAGGGATGACGAGGCAAGAAATACGTCCTAAAAGGCTAACCAGGAAATGAGTTGTCTAGGGAGCTACGATGAATTAGCATAGCCTGATCCCAGATCTACAGTGGGGAGAACAAGTATTTGATACACTGCCGATTTAGCAGGTTTTCCTACTTACAAAGCATGTAGAGGTCTGTCATTTTTATCGTGAGAGACGGAATCTAAGACAAAAATCCATAAAATCACATTGTATGATTTTTAAGTAATTAATTTGCATTTTATTGCATGACATAAGTATTTGATCACCTACCAACCAGTAAGAATTCCGGCTCTCACAGACCTGTTCGTTTTTCTTTAAGAAGCCCTCCTGTTCTCCACTCATTACCTGTATTAACTGCACCTGTTTGAACTTGTTACCTGTATAAAAGACACCTGTCCACACACTCAATCAAACAGACTCCAACCTCTCCACAATGGCCAAGACCAGAGAGCTGTGTAAGGACATCCGGGATAAAATTGTAGACCTGCACAAGGCTGGGATGGGCTACAGGACAATAGGCAAGCAGCTTGGTGAGAAGGAAACAACTGTTGGCGCAATTATTAGAAAATGGAAGAAGTTCAAGATGAGGGTCAATCACCCTCGGTCTGGGGCTCCATGCAAGATCTCATCTCGTGGGGCATCAATGATCATGAGGAAGGTGAGGGATCAGCCCAGAACTACACGGCAGGACCTGGTCAATGACCTGAAGAGAGCTGGGACCACAGTCTCAAAGAAAACCATTAGTAACACACTACACCGTCATGGATTAAAATCCTGCAGCGCACGCAAGGTCCCCCTGCTCAAGCCAGCGCAGGTCCAGGCCCATCTGAAGTTTGCCAATGACCATCTGGATGATCCAGAGGAGGAATGGGAGAAGGTCATGTTGTCTGATGAGACGAAAATAGAGCTTTTTGGTCTAAACTCCACTTGCCGTGTTTGGAGGAAGAAGAAGGATGAGTACAACCCCAAGAACACCATCCCAACCGTGAAGCATGGAGGTGGAAACATAATTCTTTGGGGATGCTTTTCTGCAAAGGGGACAGGACGACTGCACCGTATTGAGGGGAGGATGGATGGGGCCATGTATCACGAGATCTTGGCCAACAACCTCCTTCCCTCAGTAAGAGCATTGAAGATGGGTCGTGGCTGGGTCTTCCAGCATGACAACGACCCGAAACACACAGCCAGGGCAACTAAGGAGTGGCTCCATAAGAAGCATCTCAAGGTCCTGGAGTGGCCTATCCAGTCTCCAGACCTGAACCCAATAGAAAATCTTTGGAGGGAGCTGAAAGTCCGTATTGCCCAGCGACAGCCCCGAAACCTGAAGGATCTGGAGAAGGTCTGTATGGAGGAGTTGGCCAAAATCCCTGCTGCAGTGTTTGCAAACCTGGTCAAGACCTACAGGAAACGTATGATCTCTGTAATTGCAAGCAAAGGTTTCTGTACCAAATAGTAAGTTCTGCTTTTCTGATGTATCAAATACTTATGTCATGCAATAAAATGCAAAATAATTACTTAAAAATCATACAATGTGATTTTCTGGATTTTTGTTTTAGATTCCGTCTCTCACAGTTGAAGTGTACCTATGATAAAAATTACAGACCTCTACATGCTTTGTAAGTAGGAAACCCTGCAAAATAGGCAGTGTATCAAATACTTGTTCTCCCCACTGTAGTTGTGCTGTCTTGCCAATCTCCACAGTAGTTGCAAAATAGCACAAACAGATCAGGGACCAGGCTAGCGGTGGGGTCAGGAGTTATATACACTACATGACCAAAAGTATGTGGACACCTGCTCTCATTCCAAAATCATGGGCATTAATATGGAGTTGGTCCCCCCTTTGCTTCTATAACATCCTCCACTCTTCTGGGAAGGCTTTCCACTACATGTTGGAACATTGCTGCGGGGACTTGCTTCCATTCAACCACAAGAGCATTACTGAGGTCGGGCACTGATGTTGGGTGATTAGGCCTGGCTCGCAGTCTGCGTTCCAATTCATCCCAAAGGTGTCGATGGGGTTGAGGTCAGGACTCTGTGCAGGCCAGTCAAGTTCTTCCACACCGATCTCGACAAACCATTTCTGTATGGACCTCGCTGAAACAGGAAAGGGCCTTCCCCAAACTGTTGCCACAAAGTTGGAAGCACAGAATCGTCTAGAATGTCATTGTATGCAGTAGCGTTAAGATTTCCCTTCAATGGAACTAAGGGGCCTAGCCCGAACCATGAAAAACAGCCCCAGACCATTATTCCTCCTCCACCAAACTTAAAAGCTGGCACTATGCATTCAGGCAGGTAGCGTTCTCCTGGCATCCGCCAAACGCAGATTTGTCCGTCGGACTGCCAGATGGTGAAGCGTGATTAATCACTCCAGAGAACACGTTTCCACTGCTCCAGAGTCCAATGGCGGCAAGCTTTACAACACTCCAGCCGACGCCTGGCATTGCCCATGGTGATCTTAGGCTTGTGTGAGGCTACTCGGCCATGGAAACCCATTTTATGAAGCTCCCGACAAACATTTATTGTGCTGACGTTGCTTCCAGAGGCAGTTTGAAACTCGGTGGTGTGTATTGCAACCGAGGACAGATTATTTTTTGACGCGCTGCGCGCTTCAGCACTCGGCGGTCCCATTCTGTGAGCTTGTGTGGCCTACCACTTCACGGCTGAGCCATTGTTGCTCCTAGATGTTTCCACTTCACAATAACAGCACTTACAGTTGACCAGGGCAGCTCTAGCAGGGCAGAAATTTCATGAACTGACTTGTTGGAAAGGTGGCATCCTATGACGGTGCCACGTTGAAAGTCACTGAGCGCTTCAGTAAGGCCATTCTACTGCTAGTGTTTGTCTACGGAGATTGCATTTTATACACCATTCACTCCGACTACACCTCAATTTCATACACCTGTCAGCAATGGGTTTGGCTGAAATAGCCGAATCCACTAATTTGAAGGGGTGTCCACATACTTATATATATACAGTATAGTGTAGCTACAGTAGTAGCTTTATGTGCCCAAGCCATTTCCATTTCTGAAGCCCTCCCATTTTGAATGCCTTGTCCACAAGCTGTCATTGGCCTGTCACTATAAGACCAAAGTGGCATATATCAATTATGGATATTTTACTTGGTTTGTCTGTCTCTTTGTCAATCACGGATATGTTTAGTCTTTTTCTGTTTTTAGGCTTTTTTATTTTATTTTGTATCCAATTGAGGAAATTATGAAAATTCCTTGAGGTTTTGGACTCTGTGTGTCTAGGCTACATGTGTGGGCATGTGTCCTTCAGGGTCAAGCAGCTCTCTGTTTGGGTCATTCTGTCTGTTTATTTGTGTTTTATGGCAGTTATGTTTATGTGTATGTTTAGGTCTCTGTCTCTGTCGTCCCTGAGATACTCACTAACTCATGCCCGTAACTCTTTCTTCATAGGCCATCGACAACAGCTTGTCCCTGAGATAAGCAGAAAAAATGTATGTTTCTCTCAAAATAGACAGTAAAATATCTATTCTATTCCATTATATTCTTGTCCAATAGGAGGATGACTTCCTGGAGATGGTGAGCACCGGCCAGCAGATGGAGAGCCAGTACGGCCACCTGTTTGAGAAGGTGATCGTCAACGACGACCTGGCAGCGGCATTCCTCGAACTGAAGGTGGCTCTGAAGAAGGTGGAGACAGACACTCACTGGATACCCATCAGCTGGACTCACTCCTGAGAACCACAAAGAGAGAAAGGGAGAGAGAAAGTATTTTTGAGAAAGAATAAGATAAAAAAGGGAAGGACTTTTTAACAAAGTTGGTTGTATATTTTATTTTATTTTATTTAACCCTTATTTCTGCCGTGTGTGTGGTGGGCGTTGTTGGATAACAGTGGACTGACTTTATATAGTGCACTACCCACAGGGCTCTGGTCAAAATAAGTGCACTATGTAGGGAATATGGTGCTATTTGGGACGAAGACTGTATCTCTCTCTGGGTCTTCCACTGGGCCCTGTCCAGCGCAGTCAACAGTCAACACACTGGACATCTGAGGGTGGGGCTGGTCTGATCTGGTGGGGCTGCTCTGTCTTCAGATCAGATCGGTTTGACTGTGACTGCCAATCAGTGCTGTGCCAGTACGTACTGTAACTACGGGCTCCTTCCTTAGTGTGTTTTTAATATTAGTTTATAGAAGCCGAAGGGATTTGTATTTTTATGTTTCTGGATTGACAGTGGACGGTTTACATGTACATTTCTGTATATTACTGCAAAGCCTCAAGAAGAGAATAATGGGGAAAGAGATCAAAATAAACATTTTGCCTTCAAGTCTTAAACTCAGCTTCGGTCCGAAATTGCACCCTATTCTCTATGTAGTGCACTACATTTGACCAAGGCCCATAGCGATCTGGTCAAAAGTAGTCCACTATATCGGGGATAGGGTGCCATTTCGGACGGACCCTCAAACTCAGATAAACTATGCCCTTGCCCTTTTTAACGCTTCCATAGACGGTTACCCCAAGATGGCAAAGCAAAAATGTCGGCAGGTACAGTACACTCAACAAATGCAACAACAGGTGTAATTTTATTTAAGAGAAATGAATATATTTTAATATTTTCTGCTGTTTTACATACCTTTTTATATATGACATATCTATAGCATCGTTTATAAAGAAGCACCATGATACTGTCACTGTACAACCTGAGGTGATTTCTGACGTTACTTTGATGTTGGAAGCCTTCTTTCAAGGCATCAGTCAGACAGTATTTTGTCGTCGTACCTCAAGTTCCCCGTGCCCTACTTACACAGAGTGCATTCTAAATGGCACCCTATTCCCTATATAGGGAAGAGGATGCCATTTAGGACAAAGCCTAGGTGTTTTATACTTTTGATTTAGGAACTATTTAAAAATAGATATTTAAACACCCTACCTTACTCATGACGGTGACCAGGCAGCATAACAATATGCCATTTAAACTACCAGACATTGGCTCGTCAGTTGTAAGTAAAATGTTCTCAATCTAGTATAATTAGGATGGAGTGGAGTTAGCATTATTTTATTATCATAAAACAGGCCTAAAACAAGGAACCTTATAGAGGGCTCCATAGCGCTAGTAGATTTACAACAGACTGAAACACAAAGTAGCTGCTTCTAACTTAACATGGTTCTGGTTATATAGAGAAAGGTTAGAGTTGCTAGTCTCCCACCCCTCTCTTTCTAATTCCCTCCTTCTGTCTGTCTGTCTGTCTATCGCTCTACCCTTTTCCTGCTATTCAGTTTCTGTATCCCAGGGTTAGGTGGCTAGACTATAAAGTATATGTTGGATTGTTTGTTGAGATCATTTCTGTTTCTATGATGTTTAGGGTTACAGAATTTTGCAACTCTAATCATGTCTGATGTTCAAAGACCCTACACAGATGGAAAGTTAATTTGGCTTCCTTTCGACATTTCATACAGTTCCTCCTGTATAGGGTCGCAATTTTTTATACTTTTTTATTCCCTGGTTTTGCAGGATTCCTGGTTGAAATATTCCTGGAATCAGGAGGGAATTACCAGGAAGTCCTGGAATCCTTACCGGAATTCTCCAACCCTACTCCTGTAGTCTGGGTTTAGGCCCTGCTGGGTGCAGTGACCTCACGAGCAGTGACCTCATGTTCTCTCTCCCTCCAAGTTTTCACACTTACACCACCAACCATGGGTGTTAGTTAGTTAGCTCTGTGTCCAGCTAAGGTCATGAGTCATGACGAGGCACCACAGCTATCTCTCTCTCTGTCTGGTGTCTGTTTTCTCTTTTAAAGCAGTTCCCTCTATCCCTCTTTTCTTTTATCCCTTTATTTTTATTGATAAAAAATCACAGATGCGCCTGTTTTGTTTTTTCTGATTATCAAGTATATTTAAATGGATATTTTTGTTTCAGGTTAAGCCACTAGAATACCATGTTTATCTACACTACCGGTTTAACCCTAAAGTTTCCCCATCATTTTATTACATGTTCATGTTATGTTAGGTTCATAATTACCCTCTAGCCATCCATATCATTGATTGGAATCAGAAGTTCACAGTCTGTGAGGATATTTTTCTTCTGACTGAACATTAAATACTCTATTAGGCAAGTTGTATGAGTTTTATTTGTACATTTTATATTGAAATATTCAACGAAATGTGTATTTTTTAAGATGTTAATAATAAGTATGGCAAGTGAACGATGATTGAATTTTCCTCTCATAACAGTGATATGGGACGCTTGGGGTTGTTAGAATCTTCTGTGTCTAGAATTTGTTTCTGAGCCCTTGAGTGCCATTTAGAAAACACCTTCACAGAGACACTTCGAGTGCACACTTGTGTAAATAGAACTCAGATGCTATGTCTGAAATGGCACCCTTTTCCCTTTATAGTGTGCTACTTTTCACCAGGGCCCATAAGTAATGCACTATGTAGGGAATAAGGGGCCATTTGACTGGCTTCACCAGAGAGCAGTGATCATTGCTCATTAATTTATCCTCTAAGCAATTGCTGTCGTAGACAGCTCTGGTGTGTTGACATCCTAGCCTGAGAGAGACCATTGATATCAATCAATCAATCATCCCCTGAATGAGATTTCTGAGTTGAGTAGGGCCAGGGGGTGGGGACTGAATCCCATGTCTGTATAGCTGTCTATTTGTTGAAACTTGAGGCCTGCAGCGTTGCCTAATTAAACAATGTTATGTTGTCTAAAGGGCCAAATGATGAACTCAGGTGTCACTGACTGGTCCTGGACCTTCAAACACAATGGCTTTAGTATAGTAGAGAGGAATCTGGAGAAGTCCTGAGGTTGCATCCCAAAATGGCACCCTATACCCTACATAGTGGACTACTTTTGGCCAGAGCCCTGGTCAAAAGTATTGCACTATATAGGGTATAGGGTGCCATTTGGGACGAGGACTCAGATTGTCTGAGTGGCACTCCGGGGGATTTTCTCTCCAAGCCGATACTTGATGACAATCCAAAACACACCCTTCCATCCAAAACAGGTTACCTCAGTAACATTCACATTCCCTCTGTTCCACAGAGCTCACTTTGATGGCTGCCGTGTGGAGCGGGGCAGGAGTTCACAGGCCCAGGGAGGGAGGGATGAGGAGTAAAGGAGTGGGGGGTGAGGAGTGGAGCAGGACAGGAGTTTACAGGTCGAGGCAGGAAAAGACTGTTGAGGAGAGGGAGATGGAGGGAAGGGTGAGGAGCAGGAAAGAGGTGGCTGGGAACAGGCCGGGAGGGAGGGGTGGGGAGAGGAGAGGAGGGAGCGGGGAGGAGAGTGGGGAAAGGTCAGGGAGAGGTAATGGCACTCTGTGAGGAGGCCAAGGAGAAGGGCTTCACTCTCCTCTTCCCCTTAATTGGGATTAAGGAGTGATGTGGGACTCACTCACTTTCTCACCGTGCTCCACAGTAGTTGGATGTGTCCCAAATGGCACCCTATTCCCTTTATAGTGCACTACTTTTGACCATGGCCCATAGGGTAGTATAGTGGTGCACTATAAAGGGAATAGGGTGCAATTTTGGACACTGTAAGTGGGGACAGGAGAAGGAACTGGAGCTGGACCGTCATGCCAGGCTTTTAGAGGTAAGAGAGAGAGAGAGAGAGAGAGGGAGGAAGACCGAGAGCTCCACTTGGGTTTTACCTTCCAAAAGCCATCAAGCTCAATGATCCATATTTAACACAAGAAAAATACTGCCTCACATCGTCCCCCGGGCATGGGAAACCAGAGCCGTGGGAACGCGGGCCGAGTGACAGGTAAGAAAAGGTTGTAGAGCTTCTAAGTGAGCTCTGAATTTACCTCCATTTCCCTCCACGTCAAAACAGCCATGTTAACGGTGCCTGCTGTCTGGGGTGCATCCCAAATGGCATCCTATATATTCCCTTTATAGTGCACTACTTTTGACCAGAGCCCCCTTTTGACCAGAGCCCTTGACCAGAGCCCCCTATTCCCTTTATAGTGCACTACTTTTGACCAAGGCTCATTTGGGATGCAAACAGTGTCTGGGTAAAGGTGTCCCTCTCTTCCCAGCCTCCAATGAACCAAAGTGACTGGAGCCACTTCCATCTCCACTCTCCTGTCCTCTCTGGTTTAGCTCTTCTCTGAACAGCTCACAAATGATTTGTCCCAATATAGAGCCTGATTCTGACCCGAGTTAAGCGCATGTAAATGGAATGTATTTCCCTTTTTATGCACTTTTCTCTCCATACGTATCATGACCTTGAACTTAAGCTTGAGAATAGTGTGCTATTCACCCACTATTCGTTTTGGGTGGAGATCGAATAAATGAAGGTGTGGCGGAGGTGTGTACAGATATGCTTTATTCTGACTTTGACTCAATTCCCTAATAATTCCACCACCTTTACGCATGAGGAAACCATGAATAAGTTCTAGCGAACCTACCGGATCCAAGTAGAAAAAGCATCAACTTTTTTCTGATAGAAATAACACCATTGTCCATGCACTTTAATTTACAACTTCATAAGAGATATTGATAAGAGCTAGGTAAATGAGTAATCCGTTTGGATAAGGGAACTTGAAATACACTTCATTGCCAAAAGTATGTGGACACCTGCTCAAACATCTCATTCCAAAATCATGGGCGCTAACATGGAGTTGGTCCCCCCTTTGCTTCTATAACAGCCTCCACTCTTCTGGGAAGGCTTTCCACTACATGTTGGAACATTGCTGCGGGGACTTGCTTCCATTCAGCCACAAGAGCATTAGTGA